GCCAAGTACTTGATTTTCCTTATGGTCTCTTTAGGAAACAGACATCCTTCTTCCAATTACCTTGGGCTCTCTTGCCCCCATTGAGGAACTGAAGGCTTTTACAGAACCTCCAAATGTTCCAGCCAGAGGCTCCAGTTGCAGAGCAGTTGCTAGCTGGTGAAGACCTGCCCTCCTGCCACTGTCTGTGGGGACTATCTTCTTTTGGAACATTTGCCATTTTGGATCACCAATTTGGGGTCAGGAGCTTTGTATATTTTATGTCTCCTAACATCAAACTAACAAGGTAGACGTGGGTCTCCCTGTTTATTAGTCGAGAATCAGAAGGGCATTAGAGATGGAGGGACTTGCCCCAGTGGCACAGCAAGATCAAAGCCATTTCTATCCACCCCGTGCTCCTCTTACCTCTTCACCTTCCCTCCATCCTAATGCCAGGAAGGGAAAAATAGCCCATCTGTCTTCAAGGCAGCCAGAGGGAGGAGGTGCCTTCCAAGGGTGCAGGTCATTTGGGGTATTTACAAACACATTTATTGGGAAGAGGCTTAGGCCTAAATGGAAGCCACAATAGGCACTTTCCAAATCAGCTTTCATGGTAGTGTGAGGGGAAAGATCTTTACATGATCTTAGGCACTGGAGATTGTCTATTTCTGATACTTCTGACAAAGAGAAAGATAATTTATGCCATTTTTACATGTTTACACTAACAACCATACAGGCAGGGACACCATAATTCTCAATTATTAGAAACTGATTATGTTTCTACCTCTGTTTCAGTTAGAACGAGAGGAAAACAAAAGCCCTGAACTGAAGAGTGAATGATTTTAGATTGGCAGCACCCATTTAGTAAAAGAGCTGGGCCACTGTCACTTAGGAGTTACTCTATTTGGAGAGAATAGTCACTGGAATGTAGAAACTCTGTCCCAGCCTGACTCCCATCAGGATTCTTTTAAAGCTAGTAGTTTTGTGGAAATAGGTTAATTATTTTTTATGACTTAAGTTCTGTCCACCTCATAATCAGCTTCTTATTGCTTAAAAGTCAATACATTCCTTAGAATAAGAAATGCTGTGGATAGCACATGTAAAACCTATCATGGTGTACTCTAACTGGTCCAGATGGAAATGAAAATTACAAACCTATTGACACTTTTGCTTTTTTTTTCCCCAATCATGTCTAAATACTGACTGAAATAAACCTAGAAATTAATCATAAAAGGGAATGTGAAGGTTGGCAGACGTTTGGTTAGAAATCCATAGGAGTGTGTGGTGTGGGCTGACTGTAGAGGCTTCGAAACTGCCCCACAGTCACAGATCAGGATGGTCAAATTGCAGGAAATGACCGGCTGACTGCTTCCCTGACTATATTTAAGGGGCAAATGAGGGCATGCTATTTATAGGATGCTCATCAATAAGCCCCAAGTTCATAGCTGCCAAAGGAAACCTTAGTCTTGACTTTCAAAGTCTTCCACATTATTATTTCCCAAACCGCATATGATTTTAAAACTTTATGAAGGTAATATACATTTTGAAGGCTTCTTTTTGCCAGTGAAAAATCATTTTTTCCCCCAAATTGTTAGGCCAGTTGTTTCTGGTGTTTACAGAAGAATATAAGATACTTATTAAATGTTGTTTTAGAAAACAAATTTGAGAACTATATTTAGTATTTGGTACAACTGATGCTCAAAAACTCTTTGGCGGTGGTGGATATTTAAAAATTTCTTTTCACTTCTATAGACTTTTATGCTGGTTCTTTTGTAAGTCTTTTTGTTTATAATTTACTTTTATCAGTAGTTTGGAGCAGAATTTTAAATATTTTTACATCTAGGTAGTTCACAAAGATGGAAAAAAATGTCTTTTTTGTTGTTGTTGTTTTTGTTTTTTCTTTTAAGACAGAGTTTTGCTCTGTCACCCAGGCTGGAGTGCAGTGGTGCCATCTCGGCTCACTGCAACCTCCACCTCCCAGGTTCAAGCAATTCTTCTGCCTCAGCCTCCCGAATAGCTGGGACTACAAGTACACACCACCACGCCAAGGTAATTTTTGTTATTTTTAGTAGAGACAGGGTTTCACCATATTCGCCCAGCAGATCTCAAAATCCTGACCTCATGATCCACCTGCCTCAGCCTCCCAAAGTGCTGGGATTACAGTTGTGAGCCACCGCTGGCCAGAAAAAAATTTCAAAGTTTATATTTTCACACCGTTGCAAAATCACTGTGATTATATTCAGAAAATTCTGAGAGATTGCAAATTTATTATTAATAGTTGCACTAAATAGGCTATAAAAATGCAAAGGTACAAAAATGACAATGAAATATCAACACTCAGGCAGGGGAATGGGCATTTCCATTGCTCATTGCTCTCCCAGCCTTGGAGGAAGTTCTGCTTTTGCTGGGAGGCTGTCAGGCATCATGGATGGGTGTGTCTGCTCTGGAGCCAGGCCTGGCCCGGAGGTCCCATTTTGTCTGTCATCTGTTACCTGAGGTAAGTTACTCTGGGAAACATAACCTATTTTGTCTCAGTTTCCTCATTGGTCAGGTGAGGGTAATGACGTTGTGACTCAAATAAGTTAAGACAGGTAAAAAGTGTAGAACAGTGGAGGGCACAAAATCAACATTCACTGGATGTTAGCTGTTCTTATTTTCATTATAGTTATGTTTCTAGGATTAAATTTGAGAAAAAGAAAAAGTATACAACAGCTCAGTTTTCTCCAAACACTCTACCCACTTGGTATAATGGGAAAAGTTCTAGATGAAGAATGAGGACATCTGGGATCCAGTCCTGACTTTGACTTTCAGTAGCCTTTAACCTTACTATTCATCCTGGGTTTTGGTTTCCTCATCACTAAAACTGAGGAGGGTTGTACAGGAGGCTCCCTGCTCCCATTGACCCCTCACATCCTATGACCTTGCTTGAGTGACTCACAAAGCCCTAATAACATAGTTCTTTTTCATGTAGTTTTACATTTTAATACAATACTAAAACAGATTAAAGCATCCGGAATTCAGCTACAGTAAAAGCTGGAAATATCCTAAAATAATCTTCCAGAGATACATCTGAAATATCTTTTTTTTTTTTTTTTTTTTTTTTTTTTTTTTTTTTTTTTTTTTTGACGGAGTTTTTCTCTTGTTGCCTAGGCTGGAGTGCAATGGCGGGATCTTGGCTCACCGCAACCTCTGCCTCCCAGGTTCAAGTGATTCTCCTGCCTCTGCCTCCTGAGTAGCTGGGATTACAGGCATGCGCCACCATGCCTGGCTAATTTCATATTTTTAGTACAGATGGGGTTTCTCCATGTTGGTCAGGCTGGTCTGGAACTCCCTACCTCAGGTGATCTGCCCGCCTTGGCCTCCCAAAGTACTGGGATTACAGGTGTGAGCCGCAGCACCCGGTTGAAAGGTTTTTTTTTTAGGCAAAATTCTGATCAACAAAGAGCTGGAAAAACATAACTATATTTTAAAAGCTAAAGAAAACAACTACAAAAGAATAGTGAGAGGTGACAATGTGCCAGCAGCCCTCACTCTCAGCGCCTCCTCAGCCTCCGGCCTCCGTGTCCACTCTGGCGGCACTTGAGGAGCCCTTCAGCCTGCCACGGCACCGTGGGAGCCCCTCTCTGGGCTGGCTGAGGCCGGAGCCTCCTCCCTCTCTGCTTGCCGGGAGGTGTGGAGGGAGAGATGTGGGCGGGAACCCAGGCTGCACACTGTGCTCGCGGGCCAGTGCGAGTTCCGGTGGGTGCGGGCTCCGCGGGCCCTGCACTGGGAGCAGCCAGCCAGCACCGCCAGCCCAGGGCAATGAGGGGCTTAGCACCCGGGCCAGCAGCTGCAGAGGTTGCACCTGGTCCCCCAGCAGTGCCAGCCCGCTGGCGCTGCACTCAAATTCTCGCCAGGTTTAGCTGCTTCTCCGCGGGGTAAGGCTTGGGACCTGCAGCCTGCCATGTCTGAGCTCCCCCTGCGGTGGGCTCCCCCGCGGCCTGAGCCTCCCGGAGGGGCGCCGCCTCCTGCTCCGTGGTGCCGGTTCCCATCCACAGTCCAAGGGCTGAGGAGTGCAGGCGTGGCTCAGGACTGGCAGGCAGCTACGCCTGCAGCCCGGGTGCAGGATCCACTGGGTGAAGCCAGCTGGGCTCCTGAACTGGATGGGGACTTGGAGAACTTTTATATATAGCCGGAGAATTGTCTGTACACCAGTCAGCACTCTGTGTCTAGCTCAGGGTTTGTGAATACACCAGTTGGTACTCTGTATCTAACTAGCCTAGTGGAGACTTGGAGGACTAGCACTCTGTGACTCTGTGTCTAGCTCAGGGTTTGTAAATACACCAGTCAGCACTCTGTGTCTAGCTCAGGGTTTGTAAATACACCAATCAGCACTCTGGGTCTAGCTCAAGGTTTGTGAATACACCAATTGGTACCCTGTATCTAGCTAACCTAGTGGAGACTTGGAGGACTAGCACTCTGTGACTCTGTGTCTAGCTCAAGGTTTGTAAATGTACCAATTGGTACTCTATCTAGCTAACTGTATCTAGTTAACTAGCACTCTGTGACTGTGTGTCTAGCTCAAGGATTGTAAACGCACCAATCAGCACTCTGACAAAACAGACCAGTCAGCTCTCTGTAAAATAGGCCAATCAGCAGGATGTGGGTGGGACCCGATAAGGGAATAAACGCAGGCTGCCCGAGCCAGCAGTGGCAACCCGCTGGAGTCCCCTTCCACACTGTGGAAGCTTTGTTGTTTCACTCTTTGCAATAAATCTTGCTGCTGCTCACTCTGTGGGTCCACGCTGCTGTTATGAGCTGTAACACTCACCACAAAGGTCTGCAGCTTCACTCCTAAAGCCAGCGAGACCACGAACCCACTGGGAAGAACAAACAACTCCAGACGCGCTGCCTTTAAGAGCTGTAACACTCATCACCAAGGTCTGCAGCTTCACTCCTAACAGCGAGACCACGAACCCACCAGAAGGAAGAAGCTCCAGACACATCTGAACGTCTGAAGGAACAAACTCCGGACACACCATCTTTAAGAACTGTAACTCTCACCGCGAGGGTCCGCAGCTTCATTCTTGAAGTCAGTGAGACCAAGAATCCACCAATTCTAGACACAGTAGTGTCAGCGCTTTCCTTCCAGTGTTTAGCTTTGTTTCTAGGAACTCTGAGACGAAAAAAGAGAGGCAGAAGAGGGAGGAAGAGTAGGCAGAAGGAGAGCAAGAGAAAGTACAACTTGTGTGTTATGTGTGGTTGTTATTTTAAGGAAGTTTATTCTGACCAATTTTATCCAAAGAATAAATCAACAAACACCCAGAAGCAATCTGCCCTAAATTTTTTATTTCCAATATAGACCTAATCAGAATAATCAGGTTGTGTCAAAAAAGTTTCCAGTAAAATGGCCGTCTCTGTCTTCTCCATTGTTGTTGTTAGATATTAGCCCTTCTGATTTTGCACAGTCCCCTTGCCCGGTAATGTTTTAACTAAGTAAATATTTAATACTATACACTTTTCCTTTGGAAAATGAAGGAGAACAAATGGGAAAAGATGTAACAAATGTTTTGCGGCCCTGTTATAAATATTTTGTGAATGAATCAGAGAAATTGAAGATGAAAAAAGCCAACTAATTCAGCCAGTACCCTGGTGTCTACTGCTGTATTCTTTCAAGCGGTTTGTCTGGTCTGGTCTATAGTGACTCAGGTTATAGGGAATTTACCACTTCTGTCGAAGCTGCTTTCGTAGTGGGGACTATGTAGCTGCTAGGAACGTTTGTCAAATTCCCCTTGCTTTTGTTTAGTTTTCTCATCAGTCTCATTTAATTTTGTTTATTTAATTACTTATTTTTAGTGTCTTTAGATTCTTGATTCTATGTGTCTTTTCTATTTCTTTCTTTTTGTGTTCATTCAGCCTTTCTCTCTTTAGTTGTTACCAGGAAGAAACCAAAACAGCTTTTTGGCTTGTGGATAGGTGAGAAGTAACAATTGGTTCCATCACCAAATTAACAACAACACTTGCTACGTCAAGTGTTAGGCTAAGTACTTTGCATACATTATCTAATTTATTAAGCACCTTCTTTTTGCCAGACACTGAGAAGGCAAAGTTAAATATGACCCTGCCACTGTTGGCAGGGGCTTATAATGTAGTAGGGGAGATAAGCATTCAAACAGATAGTGTCAACACAGCATACTCAGTATGGGGGGCTATTTTCAGAGTAATCCTGGAGCACAGAGGGTGGGGTCCACTCCAGCAGTGAAGAGCAAGGAATGAGGGCAGAGCTCAGGTGGCGTGGGAGGGCGATACCCCAGGTGAGTTGACCAATAACCTGATTCCTGTAAGAATAAGAGTTAACTAGGTTAGAAGATGGGGGTGTGGAGCTAGAGAGGATAGCTACTTGGGAAACTACATAAAGTTCAATGTTATTAGGTTGAAAAATGTGAGAAGTTTTGGAAGATGAGGTAGGCCAGGGGCAGAAACTGGCCAGGTTTGTATTACCTGGTAGAAAACTTGAACTTTGCTTTGGATTTTAAGAACAGAAATAAGGCTGCCATGTGAACAACACACAGGAGGGGCAGCAGAGAGACTGGCATCTGTCCTGGTGAGGCATCACCAGTGTTGGAATCCCAGAGTCAGGTTAGCCAGCTCTTCTTGGTTGGAGTATCTTTAAGGCCATCTGGTCTGGCTCTAAATGACTAGGAAATTACTCATCATGTGCCTTCTAACTCTCTGAGTAGATATTTCAGTTTTCTTGATGCTGAAAAGAGGGTAGTAGGGAATGTATGTTTGCTGCAGCCAGTGGGGTTATGTCAAATAATGGTTACTTATTGACAGTAGTCTAACAATTTCTGGGAAGACTAATGTATTCCTAACTGCATATGTGGGAGAGAAACAAGAACTACCATTTACTGAATATCCACTCTGTGCAAAGCCCAGTGCCATGGGCATTAACATTCATGGTATCAGCAAGGTGGCAGCAAAGAGTCAATCTTCTGAGAGTTAAGCAGTCCTAATCAAAACATTATGGGAAATAACTATGTGCAGAAGTTATCCTGCCTAAGAGATGAGTTGCTTATATTTTCCTCCCAGCCTAAAAGGAATAGTTTATCAAAAATGGTTAATACTTGAGGTTGATAGATTTAATACATATCCAATTTGGGTAAGATGACTATGGTGTATTCTCAGGACAGGAAGGACCCTAAAGGATGCTATAATCTGACTAATTATAATTGCAACAGCCTTCTCTGAAATAATGTGCTAATGGAAAGGTAGTGTCTACCTAAAGCCTAGAAAAGGCAGCATAGAGCAAAAGGCCTTGACCAGCATTAATTCATAACAGCCAATGAAAGAAGTGACTACCTAGCTCATGTGCATTATTGATTTCTAAGTGTCTAAAAACACATCAGAATTTCCTGCAGCTTAGATAAAACATTTGCTGAACATTTATTGCCAGAATCTGAGCTTATTGATAATCTCCTTAGTATCAGGAGAGGGTATAGCAGTAAAGTGTAGACTCTGCCTTCAGACCGCCCTTGACTTTGCCACTCAGAAGCTGTATTAGTTATCTATGAATACAGAACAAATTATTCAAACTTACTTATTTAAAACAATATTATTTCACAGTTTCTCTAGGTCAGAGATTCAGAAGTGGCATAGTTGGGCAGTTTTGCCTCAGGGGCTATCATGGTTGTTGTCATCTGAAGGCTTGACTGGGTCAGGAGGGGAACCACTGCCAGGGTGGCTCATCCACATGGCTGACACATTGGTCTGGTTTTAGTGCTCCACTTGTGGGCCTCCACACAGGCTGCCTGAGAGTCTTCACCAGATGATGCCTGGCTTCCTTGAAAGCGAGAAATCCATGAGAAAACCAGGTAGAAGGGGTAATGTCTTACATCCTAGCCTAAGAAGCATGTGCCCTCACTTCCACCATATGCTTTTTATTAGAATTGAATCTCTAAGTCTGGTTCAAATCAAGGGAGAAGGAAAATTATATTCCACTTTTTGAAGAGAGGAGTGTCAAAAAATTTGCATGCTACTGTAAACTGTCACACTGTGTGACCTTGAGCAATCTATTTAAAACCTTTATGCTCCCATTTTTTCACCAGTAAAGTAGAAATAACATTAGTATCTGCTTTATAGAGTCGTAAGAATAAAATAAATCAATGTAAAGAGCTTAGAACAGTGCAGAGTATATGGTAAGTGCTTTCAGTAAGTATTAGCAATGATGCCGATTACTAATTCTATTCTGAGTCTGTTTGACCTGTGATAGAGCTAATCCAGAGACAAGAACAAAAGCTGCTGGCATCAGTCATGGGTGTCCCTTAAATTGATCATTCCTATAAGCAAAGGTGTTATCGCCACATCATCCTATTGGGCTTTGCAGAACCTGGATACTGTTTTGCCTAGGCTGCGGATCCAGGACAGGCAGCATGCATTCTTCTGTGTCACAAAGCCTTGTTTTTCTTTTCTCATCAGAGGAAGTGGTCTGGAAAAGTGCCAGCCAGGCTATGTGACTTCTCAGGTTCAACATCATGGAGATGAGAAAGACCAAATGGCACCCAGGGTCCTGCTGAAATCAGAGGCATAAATCTCAGCTGGAGCCATGAGGAGCCATTCAGGAACCCTTGAATAGATCCTTTCAGATTCTTAGTGTGGCTTCATTGAACAAAGACCTCTCCAGGGTTCTGTCCTAAAGTCACCTCAGAAAGCTGTGTCTCTGACATCACAGGAAGGGGACCCAGGGCCAGAAATCACTTCAGAATCATTCACCTCAGTTGCACCTCTGAGAATTGAGCTATCATGAACAAACATTACAAGAATGCTCAAGAATCTGGCTACCAAATAGTCCACAGACATATTATCCTAAATTAAATAAAATTAAAACATTTATTAGGTACCTACTCTAGGCAAGTCACAGTATTTCTTAAATTGGAAGCAACTTGCTCATGGATGAAGAATGAATAGAATTTTAACCCACGGAGGACTTAAAGAAAATAATTGCTGTCTGCTCCAGTCAAAGTCCACAGTGACACTCCAAGAACATGTGTCAGGAAGTTGACTGAAAAGAGAGTTTTGAGTTTTTGACTTACAAACGCATTGAGTTCAAACTAGAAACCAAAATCTACTTTTTTGCCTACTTTTCTCAAGTACAGCTGTCACACCAACAAGTTTGCTTTCAAAAAGAGAAAAGAAGATGTTTGATAGGATCAGAATATCCCAGCTCCTGATATCTGACCAAACTAAATTTAAATGTTCAGAACTTTGCTGTTGAATATACAGAGCAACATGATGGCTGGCACCAAGGAAGGCAAGACCACCAGTAGTCTAAATGTTACCCTCAGGCATGCATGCCCCGGCAGCTGGCCCTTCCCTGAAAGAAATGTCTCTTCTATTTAAAGGCAATGTCTGGGGTGAAGTAATTTATTAATTTATTAATACCAGAAGTAAAAAATACTATTTTTGGCCCAACATCCATATTAATATGGAATAAATGAGACAAGAAACCTCATGGGTTCTCAGTGTATTACACTTTCAGCCAACTGAATAGAAGACTCGGCTTTAGGATAAATGCTTGGATGTTTTATATACACTCTATTATTTAGGGAGGTCTGAGGACATCTGGACATAGAATATTATTTTCAAGTTATAGCACATAATTTTTCAGGCAAAATTTACCTTTCAGAATGGATTATGAGCCATTTAATTTCCCGTTGTGTTTATGCATATGAAAAAAATGCCACACAAGGAACCAGGCAGAGAAACAAAGATAAGAGCTAGTCTTTTCCTTGCACAAAAATCTGCACGAGGAATGGCGGTGGCTCTCGGCACTGTGCACAGATGCGTGGCTGTGAACCGCATAGCTTTCTTTTCTTCTTGGAAAATGGCCTCAAATTAGTCTAGGACATTGGGTGAACTGTTGCTAACTAAGTAAAAAGTTCATTACTCTCTGCAACAGTGAATGCCATTGAGTTATATCAACGGTTCTGAATTCTTTTTTCTCCAACGGCCCCATTTGGCCTCTAAATCTCTTTCACAACTCCTCTCCCCTTCTTAAAGATGTTTCCTATTCACTGTGAGACTCTTATCCAAGGAAAATAAATGGAGGTGAAGGGCCTGGGGGTGGGGACAAGGATGCAGAGGGGAGCCGTTTTAGAGAAGAGAAGGGGAGGTGAGAGCTGCTACCCACATAATACATGGGCGCTTATTAGAGGGCTGGAGGACTTTTTTTTGGCAAACATCAAATTAGGTCCAAGCATTCATCCCAATTCACTGGAACGTGCAAAATCAGTTGACAGGTTAGAGAAGAGAGGTTTTTAAAAGTTAACATTTGTTTTTCCCCTGAAAATATGAAATGACTGTGGGCTGCAGAAAAAAGTAGGAGCAAATGAAGAGGGCTTTTTTTTTTCTTTTTCTTTTTTTAGTATGAGAAACTAAATGGCTGGAGTAGAACTATTTCATATTTTAGATGCAGGCTGTGATAGCTGAATAACCTTCTTATTTTGACTCACAGCTTGACACAATGCAGGCTTTCATTGCATGAAGAGCCACAGCAAAGAGTTTTGGGCCATTTTCTCTTTTTATTCATTTTCTAAGCCCCATCCCTCTCCCACCCCAATTCCCCCATTTCCTCTGTCTGGGTTTGAATAGCTGAAGTGTGCCCACAATATGTATGCACTAGACACATTGTTACCTCCCTTTTACCAAAAGCACCTGGCAGGGTCACCAGTCCCAAGTTCCCCCATGGAGCCTGGCTTAACTCTTTGAATGACAAACATCCAAATATATTTTTCAAATAATTTTAACAAATATTAGAAATAATCTAACAAATGATTTTAATTAATACTTTATGGGAAGAAAATTAAACCTGTTATATTTGGTTGTTTTATAATTTTCTTTCTGATTTCCTCTCTTCTCATACCCTTTCCCTTGGGTTGTTAACTTACAATGTGAACTTGTTCTTTCCCAGCTGAATCAGTGGGAGATGATATCGTTCATTGATTTTAAATCTAAATCTGAAAATATCTACAGGCTTTGTGGTCACAGAACAAGCAACTACACATATTGGGTAAAGGGAAAAACATTACCCATTGTACAGAAAATCCTAGGAATCATCAGATGCTTTGTATTTCTAGAAACCTTGCTCTTTTCAAGAGGCCAGAGGGCCATCAGAGCATAACTCTTCAGATTTCTGCTTCCAGCCAATATGGAGTAACAGGGACTAGAGGTACCCTTATGTCTGAAACAACCAAAAATCTGAAAAAACTATGAAATAATCATTTCAAGACACTGGACAACAGGAAGCTTAAGATAACCTAAAGCAGATGCAGATCTATTTTAGTTAGAAGTTGTAGTTTGGGTAATAAGCAAAAGAGTTTAATTTCTTCCTTGGTGGAGGTGTAGAATGTTGGACATGCTGCTTGTAGTAACCTGTGGGTGGCCCTACTCTTGTCCAGGTCAGACAGGAGTCCTCCCTAAATACTGTGTGTCATGGATCTTCAAGAAGTGCACCAGAAATGTGTTTTGATGAGGAGATAACCTCAATCTCTCCTCATGTTCATCCAGACTGAGGATGAAATGAAAATGAGGGCTACACCTGTCCTTGAACATGAGCACAAGCTGATTGTGTTTGGAGCCACAGTAGAAGAAGGAGCCACAGGAAGTTGGGGGCTGCCTCCCCCCATCACAACAGAGGCCTAGCGATGGGCTTCTCAGGGGCAACACCTAGACCACGGTGCTCGGCGGGGAACAGGATGTCTGCAGTCTGTGGCTCACATGCCCGTAAGATGCCTTTTTCCCATGGGATGTGACTGATGGATAGGTTAAAAACAAGGACTTTGAATCCTGATTTGAAAAGTAAGTGTGACTCTTGAGGGAGCTTCAAGGGTGCTGTGAATGTCCTGTTCCTTGATCTGGATGATGATTAGACAAGTATGTTTATTGTGTGATCATTCATCAAGCTGTATATTGATGACTGTGAACTTTTGTATACTTCTATCACAGTTCAGCAAAAAGTTAAAAAAACGAGTATAGTGGTTCACATTAATTATGTCTTTTTTAAACTGACCCTGTTTTGATCCAATTACTTCATTATAGAAGAATGTATTAGTAAAGCTCGAGTATTGATTTCACCTCATATTTTTAATGATGATCTTAGAGGTCTTACATATTTTCAAATAATGAATAAGAATTCATTCTCTTTATTCCTGCAGGTGGAGACAAAGCTATATCATTCAATCCTATGCCCTTTGTTAGGAAATATTTACTTTTTAAATGGAAATAAATATTGTCGTTGACAAGAGTGTGGCAGCCATTGGGCAAGTAGGATGGTATTATTTAGAAACTTATGATGCTCAACAACACAAAAGCCTGGATTTTTTAGTTACCAGATGACTAATATTTGTTAGTTCATTTTTGTTCTGTTTTGTTTTCTTTTTTTCCATTCCTAATGTCATAAACACAATGCCTTATTTTAAAATTTTTCTGTTCTCTTCTGTTTGATGTTAAATTCTTAGAGTCAAGCACTGTACCTTTTTTATTTTAAAATGATGGTACAGTTGGCAGTATTACTAATATGCTTGTGAGACTGAAAAGGACAATACTTCCCAGAGGCCTGTGAAACTACACACCAATCCAAACTAACGTTAAGTGACCAGATATTCAATATTATAAAATACAGTCCCTAATTTTGTCTCTGACCCCAAACCAACAAATGATGCAGAATCTGTCTCAGTTTAATCTCAGCACACCTGAACATCATTTATCTATAGGCAGCTCCTCCTCAAGCTAAGTGGCTGTCCAAATACAACTGTAACACAGTTTTCATTTGGAAGTCCAACTTCAGTTTACCTAGGGCATTTTCCATTCCTCTTTTGCTGAAGGTCTTCTGATAAACATATAACCTGAAGGCAAGCGAGATCATTTTTCTTTCTAGCCTACAGGAAGCGGAAGCTGTGCTGGAAGTGGCCCCAGACAGCATGGATTCTGGGGGGAGAAAGTGTGGTGAGAAGGGAAGCAAGCTGGTTGCTGCAAACCTTGATGCAGGGCCGGCTTCATCTGTTCACATAACACAGTCCACTCCACACAGCCCACTTAACATTAAGAAGGGGGTAATGAGAAGGCTATGCCTGGAAAAGCTGTCATCACCTTCTTGATGAGCCAAGAGCTTCTATTCATGGAACGCTTAGAATATACCTATTTGTCAGAGTACAGCACACCTGACCTCACCTGCAAAGAATAGCTCAGGTGTAGGACCCGTCAGGAGAACATCCTTTGAGGGTAATGGCGTGGCCTAGAACAGCAGTGAGCAATGAGTGGCGGAATCCAGATTAGTTGGGAAACTCCAACAGAGACTTGGAGGAGACCACCACTACCTAGAAGGGGCAGGAGACCTCTGGGCATCAGATCCATCTAACTAGTATTTGCCAAACACTGTTCTGCACCGGGGGCAGTAAGCATCGGATATAGAAGTCAACAAGACCTGAAGTTCACAAGGAGTTCATGGTTTAGAACACAGTAGGCAGTTCACTGAGTTGGAATTTGTAGAAACTATAAATAATCAGAGCTTTTAGTTTACTGTAAAGGAGTGAATAATTCATGTGGCAATTGTCCAGATGTCTACAAGCAGATTTCCAGCTCCTGTTCTCTTAGATTCAAAGTTAAGGAAACCTGTTTTGATGAAGATAATATCCTTAACCAAGGCCCAGGAACAGGGAAGAACAGTGGAGTCCTCCTAATAAATTTTTCAAGAGAATAGAAAGAGAGGAAGCTCCGGGCTGCCACACTGAAGTCTTGTGGTTCAGGAGCTCCCAGAGTATGGGTGCTGAGATGAGCATGCATCCTGGGGGCAGTCTCGTAGCCTGAAAAAAATGTGTCTGAAGGCTAATATGTTCAACTCATTGTCACTTGGTTGTGGGAACTCCTAAATGAGCAATGTATTAGGGAAGAGCAAGTCTAACTTAATGTACTGCCAGGGACTGGGCAGGAATTGGAGTGAAGGCCCAGTCTTAGGTCCTTGGCCTTGGTCATGACCAACCACAGTATGCCTCAACCTTGTGGCTATGCCATATTCAACAGAGAACCTTTTAGAACGCCTGGAATTCAGCTAGCTCTACCTTTGGAAGAAGGATAGCTGCTTTGCAACTGCAATGAAGGTCATCAAAAGAGGTGCGTCTGAGTCCGTGCTCCAGAAATAAAGCTGGAAAACTGAGAATTCCTTGAAATTCTAGTAAACTCCTTGGCATTCTGGGCTATATCAGGGTATATAGTGAGGAGGTCGGGAAACTGAAGGTAGTAAGGCAGGGATTAAAGGGGTCGGATTTCCTGTTATCTGACCATGTGAGAAATTAAGTATTTTACTTTGGCTCTTCGCTGGTAAATATTACCTTCTCAGATTTATTTATTTTTTCTAGCCAGTCAAATTTAGCAATCGGGGGTTTTATACCAACTTTAGTGACACTAATGTTAATAAATTCTGATAACCCACTACCATCAGACCAGCCCTTCTCAGATTTAAAATTAACTTATGTCTGTGGTCATTTTCTAGTTACTATTCAGGAGATCTCGCATATACACATTCATCCTTTAAATCGTTAACAGTGTCTACTTACACTCCTCCATCAAAAACAAAAAGGATCAGAGAATTTACCCTCACGAGTATTTCTGCTAATCCTTTTATTTTTGAATTATTTAATATTTTTGATAGGGCACTCAGAAGAGATCTCAGTTGGAAGACTACACCTCATACAACATTTTGCTTTTCTAGTTATTTATCTTGTATTAAACTAAATCCTTCAGATGGGGAATTGAAGGAGAAGGACCACTCCCAAGTCAAAACGGAGCGAGTGGGGGTTAAGAGTACTTGGAGAATGGAGGATTTTCCACTTTTCTCAGCTTTGGGGAATTAAGGAAATGATATGTCAAAGTAGGGACAGAACTCAGTGCCCTGGGATACAAATGTGATGTACTGTACAAAGAGTAGGATGATCCCTATGAGGTACAGTCAGGATAGAGCCCAGCAGTGCCTCAACCGTATACATCCCTGGCTCAGGAAATTCTGCACTCCAACAGCAGGAAGCATAGGAGCACACTGAAATCCTAGGGCTTAGAAGAAATTCCTCACTGGTGGAGAAAGGTTAGCAGGCTAACAAAGAAGCTATGTGAACCCTAATGAGGAGAGAGGAGGAAATCAGTTACCCAAAACAACCAGGCTTGGGAGGCCAAGCTAAAGGGAGAAATTTCCCCCTCCAGGAGATTACAGGAAGCTGGTCCAGAGCTCTGCAGCAGCATGAATAGGCAGAGGAAGGAATGGTGAGGCAGATAAAGAGGGTGACTGAACACTGGCTTGGCCCGTTTTAATGCAGCTGACAGTGAGTGGAAGGAAAATAGTGGATGCCCAGACAAGGGCATGTGGTTCTAGGTGATTGTGAGATCCTGCAGAGTTTGTTGTCAATGGGCAGGGAGTGGAGAGGAGAGGCACAGTTGTCAGGACTGGACAGTTTGGAAATCACGTTTCAAGAAAATGACAACACCAATAGGGTAAGTGATACTGAAACAAGTTTTGCAGAGAGAAAATGGTAGTCACTTATATTTGCACTTTTAAGATTCAACTTGACAGCGTGGCATTTCAGACAAATATAAAATTGATAATCATTTTGTATAGGGCTCCCAGGAAGAGCCACTCTGATGTGAATTCTATCTAGCCCTGCTGATTTGAGGTCTCTGGATTCCAGAGGGGACACTTGGATTTAATCCACAGCAACCCTATTAATTCATTGCTGAAATGAAGCAAAACTTTTACTTGTTGATTGATGGATTCGTGTAAGCCCGCTCAGATTCTAGCATGCATGAGAAGAGAGAGGAGCCTGATCAAACTGTCTCCCGTCCATAATACAATGACTGTACATTATTAAGAAAGATTTGCATCTGAAATGCTCAAGACAACAGAGACACTTAATACTATTAATCACATTATGAGCCCTAAGAGATTGCTTACTGGAAAGGATTTTGAGAAATTTACAGATGGGAAATGGAAGGCACCACAAGTCTGCTGGTTCTCTGCCCATTTTTTTTTTTTTTTTCTCAAAGGTAGGAAATGTCCCTCTTCATTGTGAGATTGGCTCGTCATGCTGTGAACTATAGTGAGCAGACTGGGTCAAGGGTCAGGGGAGTGGAGTGCAAAAGAGAGTGTGGGTGGTCACTGCACAAAAAGCCAGTTCCAGGCAAGGTGGTCAAATTTGGTTTCAGCAAAGTATTCTTGCACTGCCTGCCAAGAAGATGGGGTTAATTGGTAGGAAAGTGTGGGAGGAAACTGATGTTAGTGGAACATTTAACTGCATGCTTTAGCATTTAACTGGATTCTGTATCAAGTGATGTGTGTGTGCGTGTGGTGTGTGTGGTGTGTGCGTGTATTAACTCACCCTACAACCCTAAGAAATGAGAATTAGTTTCACCATTTTACAGATGAGAAACAGATTAATCTTGCCTGGCTGCACAGAGTTACTAAGAGGCATAGTAAGGCTTAGAACAAATAACTGATTGAATCCTATGTGTTTGCTGTTTTAATGTGATTCACCTTATTTGTTAAATGTTAACTATATATGTATCTATGTATACACATACATACATATACATATATATACACATACAACACACACACACACACACACACACACACACACAGTCAGTTCTCTATTTGTGCAGGTTCTGCATTCACAGATTCAACCAACAGCTAATTGAAAATATTTGGGAAAAAAATAACAATACATTAAAACATTTTTTAAAACACAGCATAAAAACTAAGCACATTGTATTCGGTATTGTAAGTAATCTAGAGATTATTTAAAGTATTTTGGAAGACGTGTGTAGGTTATATACAAATACTATACCATTTTATATCAGTGACTTGGACATCTGTGGATTTTGGTATCTGTGGGGATGCTGGAACCAATCCCCCATGGATAGCGAGTGATAACTGTATATATTTCATTTTATTTTCATTTAAAAAGTTGCAGCTAGCAGACAGAAGGCAACTATGCTTCCTTCCTATGGAGTTTCGGTCACTTAGGATAGAGGTGTGGAGCAATTATATTTTGGCATGGAATTTTCTCAAAATGCCATGCTTAGAGCTTTCCCTGTGGGACAACTGTTACCACTATAAAATAATAATCAGCGGTCAGCAGAGTGCTTAATTGCCCTTTCCATCTTCACACATCCTCCACCACATGGTAATCAGTGTATGGTCCTGGATGAATCTTTAGTTCAGCCCTCCCGGTGAACATGCAGGAATGTGAGGTATTCAAAGCAGGAAATTGCACCATCAGCAACATTGTCTTTGAATGTTGACATTTGCTCACAGGCGGCCACCCCATGGACCATCATCATCTTGTAACCAGTGCAAGACCTTGTGCTTCTGGAATCATTCCAGTTGTGGGAGGTGATGTCGTCCCGGAAAACTCTGCCTTGGGGACTGGCTGTAGAAATGTGACCAGATGGCTTTGTCATCTTCCCCTGTCTACTCTGTGACTCTTCATTTGGTGGAAATGCTGTGAGGGATGAACCAAATGGAAACTCAGATTTACTCTTCAGAATAATGCGGATAATAATACACACGCACACACAGCATGTAGAGTTGCTGTGTGGCTTAAATAAATAAATGTACGCAAAGCACTAAAATGTGTCCGTCTAAGTGTAAACACCAATTGTGTTGGCTGTTATCACTATCGTTATTCTTATCTCAAATATGTGTTACTTTCTAAATAACTTTAATGTTCATAGTTTGTTAAAAGACAAGATGACCTGAAGAAAAGTAAGCCTTAAAAATTCATTATTTTTTTTCTCCACCACTCTTTTCTTCTAAACTTCACTATTCTTTGTGTTTTCACAAAAGTTGCTTACTTCACCTGGCAGAGAGAGCATTACGCAGGGAATGATTAAAACATCCTCACTTGTACTTGTTGGTTTTAAATTTTATTATTTATGAATGGGTAATAGCATGTACACTGTAAAAATCTCAAAAGGCACAAAAGGATATACAGTAAACATTAAGTTCCTCTCACCCTGGACCTTAGCCATCAAGTTCTCTTCCCCATAGGCAATCCCTGTTGCCTAATTTCTAATTCCTGTACATCCTTTTTTTTGAGACAGTCGTGCTCTGTCACCCAGGCTGGAGTGCAGTGGCCCGATCTTGGCTCACCGCAAGCTCCACTTCCCAGGTTCACACCATTCTCCTGCCTCAGCCTCCCAATTAGCTGGGACTGCAGGCACCTGCCACCACGCCCGGCTAATTTTTTCTATTTTTAGTAGAGACAGGGTTTCACTGTGTTTGCCAGGATGGTCTCGATTTCCTGACCTCGTGATCCACCCACCTCAGCCTCCCGATGTGCTGGGATTACAGGCGTGAGCCACCATGCCCGGCCTTCCCGTGCATACTTTAAAGATCATCTATGCATCTGCACTCAGACCACTCACACGTCTAAAACAAATGATAGCACACTACACACAATGTTCTGTTCCTTTTTATGTTCAATGATGTTTTGCATCACATTTCACTGTTGTATAAATAATGCTGCCTCGATTTTTAAAATAACTGAACAGTAATCCACAGTATGAATGTACTCCAATTTATAATCGAATCCTTAGTTAATGGATATTTTGATTTTGTTGTTAAAAATCATGCAGCAATGATCTATCTGTTAGATATGAGTTCTAAATTTCTCCTCAAAGAATCAGTAAGTCAGTATGTTCTTCTTTGCCTTCTACTTTTAAACTTAACTTACACATAAAGCAACCTTTTGCAATCACCTACTTGACCCTGACTTATTCCAATCACCTTCTCCACCCTGACTCATTCTGATTACCTGCTCCACCCTGACTCACTCAGATCACCGGTCCCACCTTGGCTCATTCCGATTACCTGCTCCACCCTGACTCACTCTGATCACCTGTCCCACCCTGGCCCATTCCGATTACCTGTTCCACCCTGACTCACTCTGATCACCTGTCCCACCCTGGCTCATTCCGATTACCTGCTCCGCCCTGACTCATTCTGATCACCTGTCCCACCCTGGCCCATTCCGATTACCTGCTCCACCCTGACTCACTCAGATCACCTGTCCCACCCTGGCTCATTCCGATTACCTGCTCCACCCTGACTCATTCTGATCACTTGTCCCACCCTGGCTCATTCCGATTACCTGCTCCACCCTGACTCACTCAGATCACCTGTCCCACCCTGGCTCATTCCGATTACCTGCTCCACCCTGACTCATTCTGATCACCTGCTCCACCCTGACTCATTCTGATCACCTGTCCCACCCTGGCCCATTCCGATTACCTGCTCCGCCCTGACTCATTCTGATCACCTGTCCCACCCTGGCTCATTCCGATTACCTGCTCCACCCTGACTCATTCTGATCACTTGTCCCACCCTGGCTCATTCCAATTACCTGCTCCACCCTGACTCACTCAGATCACCTGTCCCACCCTGGCTCATTCCGATTACCTGCTCCACCCTGACTCATTCTGATCACCTGCTCCACCCTGACTCATTCTGATCACCTGTCCCACCCTGGCCCATTCCGATTACCTGCTCCGCCCTGACTCATTCTGATCACCTGTCCCACCCTGGCTCATTCCGATTACCTGCTCCACCCTGACTCATTCTGATCACCTGCTCCACCCTGACTCATTCTGATCACCTGTCCCACCCTGGCCCATTCCGATTACCTGCTCCGCCCTGACTCATTCTGATCACCTGTCCCACCCTGGCTCATTCCAATTACCTGCTCTGCCCTGACTCATTCCGATCCCCTGCTCCACCTTGACTCATTCTGATTACCTGCCCCACCCTGGCTCATTCTGATCACTTGTCCCACCCTGGCTCATTCCGATTACCTGCTCCGCCCTGACTCATTCTGATCACCTGTCCCACCCTGGCTCATTCCAATCACCTGCTCCACCCTGGCTCATTCTCCACACTGACTCCTTCCATTACCATTTTCCCCACCAAACCACTCACCCTGTCACCCTTTTTAAATTAGCCAGTTGGAATTAGTTGAGCCTGTGCAGTCTAACCCTAGCCAATAGAGGAACGCAGGGGCCGCGGACGTCAGGGATAAAAACCCCCTCCCTTCCCTTGGCCAGGTTTGTGCTCACCATTGCTCCGTCTGTGAGGGTGCACCCTTCTATGAAAGTAAATTGCCTTGCTTAGAAGAAAAAAAGAAAATTTTATATCCGAGTGCTATTTCTTTTGTGGCACCAGAACTATTTGTAACATACCTGATCTTTATTTTAAATTTTTGTTTACTTAAATATTAAATATATTATCTACCTGGTGTTAATTTGTTTAAATAAATGTGAGGTAGGGTTCCATTGCTATTTTTTAACCAGGTAGGATATATTGACTAACCTGGACTTTGAAAGTGATTTGAAATACACTTTTCATTTATTAAATTCTCCTTTGTGTTTAGGCAGTAAGGCATAATATTCGAGAGTGTGGGCTCTGCAGTCCAGCTATGTGGGTTTGAAGCTTAGCTCCTTTATTTGCGAGTGGTACAAACTTGAACAAATTATGTAATTTGTTTTTCTCAGTTTTTTTTGTTTTTTTTTTTTTCCGAGACAGAGTCTCTGTTGCCCAGGCTGGAGTACAGTGGTGTGATCTCGGTTCATTGCAACCTCTGCCCTCTGAGTTCAAGTGATTCTCCTGCCTCAGCCTCCCGAGTAACTGGGATTACAGGTGCCTGCCACCATGCCCAGCTAATATTTTGTATTTTTAGTAGAGACGGGGTTTCACCATTTTGGCCAGGCTGGTCTTGAACTCCTGACCTCATGATCCACCTGACTCGGCCTCCCAAAGTGCTGGGATTACAGGTGAGAGCCACCATGCCTGGCAAAACAATCTTAACAGTATTCTAAATGATCTATTTTGAAAGGACACAGAGCATTAAAATTCTTTTTCTTCAGATGTCTCTGCAATCAAAAATAAAGAATGTTTGTTGTTGTTAAGTGGTTAAAATGATGAGTACGTAAAACCAGCTGGGATCACTAAATATTTAGGTAACATATCTTGAAGAGTTAATTTTCATGAAAGAGTGCTAAGGAAAAAGAGACAAGAGATGTTATCCACCTTAAAGCTGATAGTCAGTGGGTACACTAAGTACAGATGAACCATATATTTACAGTTGACATTGGGTCTGCTTGGGCAATTATCTGCTCTGATTGTTAGTTCTAAACTGTACCATTTTTGTTATACTGTACCATTTTGTTACATATTTTTAACAGTACCCCTCTCCCCACTACAAAGTAGATTTGTTACTTGTTTGAATACTTTGGTTAGTGTGGCTAGCCAATTTGAAAGAGTTCTTGAATTTTTCCACACTGACCAGATTAACCAGATAATTGCTATGTATCCAAAGTATTACTTGAAACTGACAGCAGAATTTCTACTTCCACCTCTTTTTTCCCTTTGACTTTACGGGCAAATTAACTCTATGGTGGCTTTTCTTCTTATCCAAATATTGTATTTATGAATAGGACCCTCTGATTCATATTTTCTATATTAATGCCAAAGCAATGTTTATATACTAACAGTAAATGGGACTGTTTATGCAGTATAGCCTGGCTGGTTTATTATGGTTTCAGGGGAGCTCCTTTCTCAGGACGTGAAAGATCCAATGAACTCTTTCAGAACCCATCAACGGTAGCCAAAAATCCTTTCTGCTAAATCTACTACTTTGGCTCCTTTTCTCCATCAAGGATTAAAGAAACAAAAACAAAAACACACTATTCAATCATACCCCAAGCTGTGTTAAGCCAATTTGTGCCAAGGGTGATGGCAATTGCCTTCGGATTAATATTATCTTCCTTCCAGGTCCACATCAAATGTTTGCAACCTACCTTCCATCCCACAAGACGTGTTTAATTCATAGTTTGTCTGGTTAGATTTTGCAGTGCTTAATGTCTCTATTAATAATGCTAACATTTGATGAATATTTACCATGTGCTTTCCATGCTTTTCCTCATTTAATCCTCGGAACAACCCTATATGAGTTTGAGCCATTACTATCCCAAGTTATAGTTCAAGAAACTGAAAGTGAGGGATGATAAACGTACTGTGTAAGATCACACAGCTAGGTAACAATAGTACCGAGACTCTGACCTGGTCCATCTGACCCCCTAAGCAATGTCGACCCCATGTGCACACTTTCTTCTACTTTGGGCCTCTGTACTTTATATCCTGCTTCCTTAACCTAGTGGTTTTTAATTCTGGCTGCAAATTAGAATCACCTCTTAGTTGTTTAAACAATATTAAGTTCCAGGGATATTAATTTAATTGGTTTGGATGGAGATCAGATTGATATTTTCTTAAAAGTTCCCACACATAAGAATTACAGCTTTAATCAGATATTTTTAATGGAAAAACTTGGATATTTTGATTTGTATATATATTAGGTTCTCAAGAAAGGCATCTTTAACTGAATTAAATGACCATGGGTTGTTTTCTGATTTATTTAGTAGTGTTTGTGGTACAGCTATGTATATTGAAAGAACAATGTCTTGGCCAGGTGCAGTGGCTCACACTTGTAAACCCAGCATTTTGGGAGGCCCAGGCAGGTGAATCACTTGAGGCCAGGAGTTTGAGAGCAGCTGAGCAATATAGTGAGATCCTATCTATAAAAAAAAAAAAAAAAATTTTTTTTTTAGTTAGTGCGGCATGGTGGTACACACCTATAGTCCCAGCTACTCAGGAGGTTGAGACAGGAGAATCACTTGCGTTTAGGAGTTCTAGGCTACAGTAAGCTGCGATTGCGCCTCTACACTGCAGCCTGGATGACAGAGTGAGATCTTATGTAGAAAGAAACAAAAAACAACGAAAGAGAGACGGGGGCAGAGAGGGAGAGAGGGAGGGAATCAAGGGAGGGAGGGAAGGAAGGAAGGAAGGGAGGAAGGGAG